AGGAGATTCGTGCTATTTTCGCTCAGTACGATCCTCTCTTCGAGAGCGCAAGCATTGACGAAGCATATCTCAACATTACTTCTTATTGCACAGAAAACAACCTAGACCCGGAGGAGGCTGTTAGTCGTATGCGGGCGGAGGTCCTGGAAACCACTAAGATCTCAGTCTCTGCAGGTATCGCAGCCAACGCGAAGATCGCCAAGATCTGTTCCAATCGCAACAAGCCGAATGGACAGTTTCGTGTCCCAAATGAGAGAGATGCGATCATGGAGTTCATGAGAACTCTCCCGGTCCGGAAAGTGAACGGTGTCGGTCGTGTGTTTGAGCGTGAACTTGATGCAATCGGCATAAAGACATGCGGTGACATTTACCCTCAGCGTGCCTTTTTGACGCGACTGTTCGGTGAAAAAGCATTCCATTTCCTGATTCAGTGCTTTCTCGGCTTGGGAAGAACGCAGGTTCAGCCCGTGGAGAACTATGAACGAAAGAGTGTCGGCACTGAGCGCACGTTCAATGAAATCGGCGACAAACAATTACTCCGAGAGAAACTCTGGGATACGGCGCAGGAACTTGAGAAGGACTTGGCTCGTACAGAGTGCAAAGGTCGTACATTAGTCCTCAAGGTCAAGCTGGCCACATTTGAAGTGCTTTCCAGACAATGCCAGCCGCCCAGAGCCGTTTCCCTCGCCAAAGACCTCTACGCATTCTCACTCCCCATGTTAGCGAAGCTGGAAAAGGAGATCCCAAATATGAAACTCCGACTTCTTGGTCTCCGCTGCACCAATCTGATCAGCACGAAGAAAGTGGATGTTAATTTCTTTGGCGCGGCATCGCAGTCGAGGTCTGTCGCGGGCAAAATGTCTGATGCAATGACAGAAGAGCAAATTGGTGCAGAGGAAGCTTTCGAGGAAGCTGCGCGCCAGGAAAGGCAAGACGACATCAACGAGTTGGAGAAGCTCAGCCAGGAAATTTCCCACACCGAGCAAACGAACAAAGAAGGCGACACAACCGTATTTCCTAACTCAGAAAGCCAAACGGAATTCTGGGATTGTCCAATCTGCTCCAGGCCTCAGATCGCAGAGGATAAAGCATTCAATGATCACGTCGATTATTGCCTCTCAAGGGAAACCATCAAGGAAGCCGTCCAGTGTACCACCGAGGATTCTCCATTGCTTACAGCGAACACACCGAAGGCAAACGGACGAAAAAGAAAGGCGACAAAAGAGCCATCTCACGAACCTCACGACCCACGGCAAAGGCGTCTTTTCTTCACATGAAACATTCCGAAGCCTGCGAGAAAAGACGCCTTTCCATACGGCTGATTGAGATGGATCAGGCCCATCATATCGTCATGCAAGTCCACAGCCTACTGAACTGGTCCTTCAAGGTGGTCACTGCCGCCAATTCGACTCACACTAGTGTGCTGAGTAGAAACAGATGGGTACGACGACGCCGTTTGAACCTCGCTGACCAGGCAACCCTTACTTCTGTTCGCGTACGGATATATGGGGCTATCACAGATGAGGTTCCCAGCCAAGCGGCGGGACAATCTGTTTTCGCAGCTGTTGTTTCTTCAATCCGGGTTTCCAATAATCTCGTCAGTCCTCAAACCATAGCATTGCGGCCGTATTCTCCGCTTGCGCCCAGCAGCTTTCCTAGATATTCACCACGCCTTCTTCCCATAACGAGGGGTGCAAGTCTTCTGCCGTCATAAATTCAGGGGGCGAAACCTTTGAAGAAGTTGATTCTCAAAACAAACTGTGGCATCAACGAATTCTCTTGTCATATATGAGACACTAGATTACAAGTTGTCGGACACGATCCTCAGTTAGCTGCGGTTCTTCACCATCTGATTTAATTACTAGCACCAACATTTGTTCAAACGTCTGGTCAAAACATGAGACAAGTCAATCAACATTCCTCATGAGGTCATTGAGCAGGATCTGACCCAATAACCATGTTGGCGGATGTTGATCAGCCCATGCGGGAGCAAGGTCCAAGGACAACATGATCAGGATAAGGTCAACCCAAGAAGAGTCACCAGACACGAGAAGGCCAAGTGGTTGACAGATAGATAGATTCAGTCAGATCATCCTGATTATCGATCTGAATATCCGGGGATTATGTGACTCTGCCAGGAATGTGCCGAGTTTCGCCTGGAGCAACAGTTGCGGTGAAAGCACGAGACACACTAGACTGTTTTGGGGCGGATGCGCTGTCGGACCAAATAATACCTTAGTCTAGACTAAGAATGATTGTTATTATTATCATCACCCTTGCCTCTCCAATATCCCCTCAATCTATAATTTTACCACTCGGCTTATCTGTATTGGGTCCCTCACATCGTCCGCCAGACTACTCACGCTGCTGAAGTCGCTCTCTCTGCTGGCCGAGTGCCATCATGCTTGCAGATCCTTGTGGAGTGTCGCAATGCCATAAGTCGTCCTCCTCCTTTCCGCCCCTCAAGTCCCGCAACTATGACCTCCGATAAACAAAACAATGGCCCTCTCGCCAAACCTTTCACGCCAACGCTCAGTGCCGCCTTCAATCGGACCAGCAAATCTCCCTTGACTCCCAAGCTTGCTAGTCCCGGTGGTTATCGCACCCCGAAGAGACTCGCCCCATCAGAACACCCCTCTTCGACTCCTGATGCCGAGACCGCCTCCTTCCTCAGTGCAAACATCACCCCTCGATCAGGTTCTCGCAATAGCAGACGCGATGGATTTCCCTCCCCGAGCAATGCACCATCCAGCGTACAGTCCTCGCCGCAAATTCCGTATTCGCATGCAGGTGTCGCCCATGGTGCGAGCTCAGGAGGTTGCAGAACGGAGCGGAGTCCCGCCCGCGCGAACGGGAGGTTGGAGCCGTCCAGAGGGAACCGCACAAAGACCCTGACAACAGAACACCCTAATACTTCACGGCCGAATTCTTATTCCGACTCTTCCGCTTCACGAATGTTCTTTCATGCCTACGATGCACGGTCTCCGAATTCCTCCGAGGTGGACATCCGATCCAAACCACAAAGCAAACCATCCTCGCCCGCTACGTTTGTCTATGCCAATGGAGAACATCAGCAGCAGTCTCAAGGCGAGGAGGCAAATATCACAGCTCCGACGGTCAAGCGGCGATCGATAGGCTCGTCTCGTCCTGTGTTGGCACCAAAAGCTCTCACAGCTGCTTCGCCGCGGTTACGGCCAGCTAAGCTCGCTGACTCCGCCGCCAGAGTTTCGGACGGCACCTCACAGGTCAGCTCACAGCGTGATGACCTTTCCCAGGTTAGCGCTCAAGCTCATAGCTCTTTCTCGGGCACATTCCCCGCAAGACCACCTATTCCAGCCGTCAGGCACATCAAATCATCAAGTCTCGACTCCGCCAGCAGTGGCGCTCATCCAAAGGAAGGCCTAAAGCCAAGCCCGATTATTGTATCAACGGCCGAATCGCCGATTGACACGGAGTGTGCCGCGTTCGAGTCGATGCCGGGGCTCAGGCCTCGAATTCTCAGCAATGGATCTGTGACTTCGGTCGACACCCATGTTTCAGCGGCTGCACAGAGTCCGGTGAAATCGGATAGTTCCGGACAGGCAAACAACGATGTCGTTCTCAACGCGCGGATTGAGAGAAAAATCCTTGACTTGGAAATCAGCAACTCGTCCTTGCTTGCGATCAATCGTACCCTAGAGCGGGAGATGCGCAAGCAGAATGCAGAGTTGCGAAGATATCGCCGTCTGAGTCGCTCCGGGCGTTTATCCATGGCGCCATCTACACGGTCCTTCTCCGGAACTTCGTTATCGATAACCAACGAATTGGATGAGGTAGAAAGCGAGCGTTCGTCTATTCGCTCTCCGGAGGAACTGTCGGATTATAGTGATGAGGATTCCACCGTGGACGAGGGCGTTCTCAGCCCCGATTCGCTTGCTGAGCACGATGCGCGCCATCGAGTGAAAGATGAGAAGCGATTCTTCATCGATATTGCGAAACACCAAGAATTGCTGGCGGACAGTCAGAAAATAAATCAAAGCCTCAAACGATGTCTCGGGTGGACAGAGGAGCTGATCAAAGAAGGCAAGAAGGCTCTCGAGTATAGCGTGCATGTCAACGACGTACAGCTGGGCGGCAGAGTCCTCTCACCAGACGAGCTTCTTGAGGACGGAGAGAGAGCCCGGGGACTGTTGAGTCCTGTCGGTGAGCCTCCGGATCCTTTGTTGCCATCTCAGGAGTTGGAATCTCTTATCGAGATGCTTGACAATGAGGCCATCGGCTACTGAGCATGGTCTCCTTAGTTTTACAACGTCCTTGACGGGCAGGCCCGTTCATTCTTTTTTTCCCCCTTGGGCCATCATTTTTTTGCAACTCTTTTTTGATCACTCTTACATTTCTTACCCGATTTCTACCCATATCTACTGCATTTGTGGCGTACCAAGGTCCTTTTCCATTCTTTATCACGGCCGTGGCTCCTTTGACCCTTCAGCCGCCTTCATCAGTCTTCTAGTTTCATTATCTTCTCTTTTTGCCTAAGCGATAGATACATGGTAATGATGTCGATCTTTCCTGCTACTTGCACTCTCTGGTATAATTGTTAGATACCCGATGCGCGATATGTTTGTTGTCTTTCGATATATCTACTGATGGGGCATTTGTGATATAGAGCAAGCCAATCGAGGCGATATTCTCATTTTTGGATTTCTTCTCTTCCATCTCTCTGCGATATACATTTAATTTCTTCACATGAGCAAATTTGTCCTAAATATGGCGGCGTGCTTTGGCTTCTAACTTCGTTGCAGGGTGTTGATCCATATACACTCAAGTGCGTGATTCAGGAGCAACATTTGATATACAAAAATTGGTCGAGCGACGGAGCCTCGCCATGTGTCGCGGCGTTTTGGCAACTTTCTTTGCAAGCCAAATTCTTGAATAGCTTGAACAAAATCAATCAAAGCGGTCAATTCTCTTTCTCACAAATGAAAGCCAGACCTTCGGTCTCGACAAAGCAGCCATGGCCATCAGGACTCACGAGCAACTAGCTTTGCAAGATACACCTTGCACTCACGGCTCATCCGCTCGTCCACTCCATCATCGGATCGAGCCTCTTGTCCCGACACGGGTATCTCGATGGCCGGAAAGCCCTCAACGTCCACAAGATACTCGTACGCGCGCTTCACTCCTTTCCTCCACATTGACACAGGCATATTCTCCCTCGATACCAGGAGCACGACAGGCAGAGCATCGTGTACACCCTGGATCCCGCTTTCCTCAGTGGGATACAAGGCATATTGAATGAAAATACCGTACAGAGACAAGAAATACAGAACGCGTTCGCGAGTCCTGATCGTAAGCCTGGATAGCTTGCGTTGCAATGGGTCAACGCCGTCTATTGGCGTGGTGAAGGTGACTTCTAGACGGGAGGGCAGGGCCCTTCTGAGCTCTATCTCTTCTACGACTTCTGTCGCTGCTTCTGATTCTGTGTCTGAGATGTCGTCTGTGGATGGTGGGCTGGGAGGCATGATACAGCCCAGGGCCTCATTGTATGTTGCATTGAGATCGTAGGGGTGCTTGTCCATGCAGCTGTCTAGTGATGCGCTGGCATCGTCGATCATCATGTCGTCAAGGGAGTATTGGGCCATCTGAGACTGGAACTCCATCTTGTATGTTGAACGAGTGACTGATAACGATTGTAGTGGTAGGATGTAGTGCGTCTCATGAACGTAGAATGTGAGAGATCGTGGGTGTAGAGGGGAAGGGGAAGAGAAGTCGTTCAGGTAGCGATTCTGAGGTCATAGTGAGCAGCACATGGATCTGCACATTCTCTAATGAATATCTGGCTTGTACCTGAATATGAGCATCCATGGTCCAACTCCAATTGACCCAATCTGCTATCCCCTACGGAATTTAACCTCACACCAGGTACTAACATAGTGGTTGGTAAATATTCAAAACAAAGCATCTACTCAGGCCACAACCTGATGCCCACTTGTATAGTTCCCAAAAAAGGCAAACCGATACATCGCCTCCTCCTTCAACTTTGACACCCTCCCATCCCCCAAGAAAATCCCTCACTGCACAGAACCCATTCTCCGCCTGCTCACGGATTTTGCGAGCAGGTCTGGATGTTGAGCCGTAAGGGCGGATTATCGGACTACCGGGCCACACTTAGAGATTAACATAGTTTTGACACTATCCTTGCTGGTATCGCATTTCCTCTCTGTAGACTAGATTAGACAGACAGATTAGAAGAATCAGACCTTCATCCTGTTCATTCCGCGTATGTGCGTTTGCCATATAAATCCAATTAGCGCAGAGTAGCTGACACCATGGGCATCAAGATCGACATTGAGTTGGTTCACAGCGCACTACAACAATCCATAAAGAATCAATTAACTACAGCGACAGTACGGAGTCTGACAAAACAGACTCTTCGGGTGAAAGCCAAGAAATTGTATTCAGACCTTTCAAAGAATCTTATTAGTTCAGGGCGATAACTCCACAATATACGATTGGGCCAAACAGATATAGTAAACTTGGACATCAGGCCGTACCGTCGTAGTGTGAATTCACATCGTCGCCGCGGCTACATTGATTTACTCCTCGTTCGTAGAGACCTTGCCCTACCCGTACCAGAAACTGATAGACGGTGATCATGAAGACGGACTTTTCTCTCCCCCTTCTCCACATTCTGGCGGGAAATTGCAATATCGTGGAGCGGTTGCGATAGATCCCTTAATTTCCTCCTTTGTTCGTCTTTCAATACCCACTCGGTTGTCCCTCCGCATGTTCGCTGCTCATACGGAGACGTTCGCATCCAAGCCATCCACTTGCGCACGACTTCTGTCGCAAGGTGGCGTGAGACCTCAAACCATTCGATATGCCTTTTTCCACACCCCGGACACTGTTCCTCGGCCCGTCTGTAGTTCTTCAACTCCATGTGCACTAGCTTTTCCACGCGGCAGACATGGCTGACCTGAAGAGACTCCTCGTCGCTGCCCCGTTTTGGATAGTACACTTCCATCGGCTTGCTGCACTGGCTGCTCCATGCCGTTATTCGCTTGCCAATGTCCTTTGAATAGCCGATCTTGAGGTGTCCGAAATTCCCTGGTTGCCAGTAAACATATACGCTTCCTACCCTCTTGATCTCGCTGTCCATGAGGGGCTTGATCAAAAGCTTCTCGAGGGCTTCCGAAACAGACAAACGTACCGAGTCACCGGTAACGTGGGGTCTGAACTTTTGGATCAAGGTGAATACTTGCGGAATGTTGCTGGGGATGCTCTCTTTGGTTGTTGGTGGTGGGGGCGTTTCTACTTTCTTGGAGAAACTTCCCGCACCACTAAGAGTGCTCATCCAGTCGGCAAGGGCTAAAATGCGTTGATTTGTATGAGAGGCAATGTGTCTTTGGTCTTGCTGAATGTCGTGTAGCTTGTCGATGTCTTTTCGCCAGGTTTCTAGCTCCTTCCGCGCGACACGTTGGTGTGACGAAGAACATAATGCAACAGTGATTAGATCACTCATGCATTGGAATACTTGACTGGGTTTGATGGCAGTCAAGGTGTCTAGCAAATGCGTAACGCGTGAGACATTTGCTCTGTGCGGCTTCCTGCATCGCAAGCCCTTTGTTGTCCATGCTGGGCAGTGTTGGTCGTCCTCTCTCAAACGCTTGCGAATCTCAAGCGGTATAATCTTGTAAAGAGACTTTTGGATGCCATCTTGGTCTTTGGCGGACGTGGAAGAATACTGAGTGGAGAGGAGAGTCAATGCGACTTGGATTGTGCCGTCTCCCGGTGGCATGCTCTTGCTATGAGGATTATGTTGGTCGTTCATAATCTGGGCTGAGTCAATCTGATCATCTTCTGGAGGGGAAATGGTGATGCTCGGTATGATTAGATTGGATGACGAAGTTTGGTCAGCACATTGATCCTGCGTGAAGGATACTACTGGATCCAAATCGGATTTCCTCCCACCACCAACATCGCTGGCTGCTCTTGGTCTGAGAATCCATGCCCCTTCTCCCGAAAATTCTGTACTGATGTTCCTCGCCTGTTCTGATGTCCAGTACTCGATCTTGGTGTGCCGCGATCGCTTCGATGTCTTCTGTCCGGCCTGTGTGGGTGGCCATGTTATTCCCTCAGGGAATTTCGCGTGGTCGGAGACCCATGCACTACTATCGACAGGGGAAGTTGAACTTTCCTTTCGCTTGCTTAACAACGCCTTGCTGACATTCTCTGAATACAGAGAAGAAATGCTGAGTTTGAGATCCAAGCTATTTGCTCTCTTCGCCCGTCCCCACGGCTTGGTTAGGGAATGCGTCTTGAAGGTTTGTGTGTGTCCGGCTCGAGCCTCATCTCCCCCCGATTCGGCATTTTCTTCACCTTGGGCAGATTCGAGGTTGTCTGTGTTTAGTGTAGTCGACAGTGCTTGTCGACCTTTGACTGGAGTCTGCCATCCATAGTCATCCGTGATATCAGTGGTGGTTGAACCTGTGGGGCTGAACAGAGTATCTGTCGGTGAGGGAGGGGACGAGATGACACCAGCGTCCGAAGCGCTACCCAGTGGTGACCGAGTTCCATCGAGTGTGGCTTGACACAGGGGAGGCTTTGTGGGGGTGCTTGGTGATTCTGGGGTAAGCTGAACTTCGTCTCCTGACATGGCCGTTCGTCGAACTCTGGGGACTCCAGAGAAGCATGCTTCCTCTTTTCATCGTGAGAGCGGACGATGAGCCTATAAGTCGAACAGGGCCCTCCGGACTTCGCTATCTATCCCGTCGATTCCATGTGATCACGAGGCTGAAACTCGCCATCATGCCTGTACAACGCGACTGGAGTGCGCAAGAATGTGGCCCCAAATTAATGCAATTGCGCCGCCGGTGTTTACATTAAATGAGGCGCAGAAACTGGCTGGCGCAGCATAGTCTAGCGCTGCTAATCCCTTGAATGATCCATGCCTCCGAGGGCTGTGTTAAGCACATGCAGGAGACTAAGACCTAGCTGACCGTAGGATACCTAAGGAAGGGGTCAGCTCTCGATAACATCCCATGTCAAGCGCCTGGATGTATCTACTCCAGAGAAATAGTCCAAACCCACACGAGGCATACTGATAGCTCGGCTACCACCATCAAGAATCACAGGTCTAATCTGCCTTCATGACGGCCAGGATCATTCTCCATATTTACTGGTCATGTTTGTTCAGCCTCGCGTGGCTGTGGGGGCAGCGGCTCTGGCCGAACCGAAGCGCGCATTCTATTCTGAAACCACGCCCTGACCTCCTATTGCTTCGAAATTCAGACCTGTGAGGGTCGTTTGAAATGCCAATATTATACTGGTGTGGCCTCACAGCACAATGCACTCATCCTCAAGGGCATACATACAGATAATCATGATAAATTCGATGTGGCTGTATCATTCAGTAACAGATAGCCCCTGCCTTGTTTTATATAGTTGCTCGTGTGCTCACCCTCTTCATTATCAGCATGCTGTTGAGGCTGGCAAGTGGTATGGTTCCTGCTTCAGAAACAGCTTTCCGAATCAAGGTGCACTGCCGTCTAGAAGAGTCTTGTTGTAATTATAATCAAGCTTTGCTTTGAATTATGAGCAGTTGGCTCTGATCTTCAGTGCAGCAGAACGCTGACAGCCGGGGAATGAGAGGAGCCGAAGAAACGTGGGCGAAGGGGAGACTCGGCTCTAGGCGGACCAAAGTAATTACATTGCCCTATCGGTTGTGACTGTCGAACCAGGACCCCATGTAGTGGCCGATATATCATGGTCGTCCGACTAAGCAGCCAGTGGAGATTTGATGAACAAGGTGCCGGTCAACAACCCAATCTATCATTAAAATGCAATATACTGTACGTGCAAATATGTGAAGTCCCGAATGGGCCATGAAGGCGTAAATGCACGTATCCAAGCACCCAACGGACAGAATCGAATGGAGGAGATTAAATAGACAGCTGTAACCCACAAGCTCAGCAAACGGGCCTTGGGGCAAGGACATAAACAAGACTAGGTATCTATGCGGTGGTTTCTTCTTCGTGGTGGTGATGCTCATGCTTCGACTTTTCCTTCCTCTTCTTCTTCTCGTCCTTGCCCTTCTTCGACATGGCCTCAGCCATGAGCTGCTCAAAGGCCATGTAGTCTCCTTCTTCTTCGGGATCGCGCTCTGCCTGTAGTTTCTGCACTTAGCTTCCTGTGACGTGGTAGAGCTCGAACGGGAAGAGTTTACCTTTGAATAGATATTGCCGGCAATAACCAAGGCGTGCGCGCGCTCAAGACGCTTCTCTAATTTGATGCGCTTGTCACCCAGGACCTGATCACAAACGTCGCGCAGCACGCTCTGAATCTCAAACTTGCTGCCTCGCCATGCGGCCGCCAGAATCTTGCCCGTGACCTTCTTCTCGTACTCCGCCTTCTTCTCATCGGTCCAGTCCTCTCCGCCTTTCTCTTCCAGCTTGGCCATCTCCTCCATGGTCATCTGCGCATCGATAGCAGTCGATATTGTAGTCCAGGTCTCCTTGGCCAGAGTGCCCTTGTCCTTCAGCCGGGAGAAGAAACCGGAGATACCGAGGAACTTTTGAGACTTGATAAACGAGGTGGCTTTTGATGTGTAGGTAGCACCGATGGCATGCAGAATCTCCAGACCGAACGATTCCATCTTCAGATTTTCCACCTCAAGGCGAATTTTCTCCTCAAATGCACGGGTTACATCGGGACCTTTGTCGGTTTCGGTCCAAACGCTGAGCTTGTCGACCAACTTGGTTGCCAGAGTGTTGACCCGCTCCTCACGAGCCTTCTTTCGCTCCAGTTCGTAAGCAGCCAGGCGCTCTTGCTGTTCCCGAGACAAGCCCTTCTTTTTCTCCTTCTTGCGCAGTTCCTTCTCCTCCTGAGACAGACCGGCGGCATCCATCCGAGCCTCCTCTTCCGACTTGTCCATGATAGCCTGTTGTCCCAAGTAGCGACGGGGCGTACTCGTTCCGGAGGTTGGTGTCGGCTTCTCTGATGGTTCTGCGGCTGGGGCTGGGGCTGGGACTGGGGC